AAATGGGCTCAAAGTATCCATGAGACCACGTGGATATTGGGAAGTCATCAAAATGTCCACAACCACATGTTAAAAATTTCAAATAGGAGAGCCTGGCCACCTGATCGGCATATCATGAAGGACTGTTATTTGGGTACCAAATATGTATCTCTTAGAAGTTGCAGAAGCTGTGGCATTTTCTTTTCTTTTCTTTTCTTTTTTTTTTTTTTCCGCATTTTGGGACAATTTTATTGAGAAAGCAGAAGAAAAATGCACAAGAGCTCTGAAACCTCCATGGTGAACTAGCAAACACAAGCTTTATTTCTAGATGATCCCTTCCAAATCACTGCTCCGAACATGGTTGCAGGGGAAATCATCGTGCTCCTGGGTCCCAAAGGTTGCAGACTCAAGAAGCCTCAGAGAGTCTTGCACAAAAGGGCCCAGATCCACTCCCAGCAGCCTTGGCTGGTCTCCTGGCCTCTGGCAGGGGAAGGGGGAAGAGGACTCTTACAAGGGTCACCACCACCAGAGGTCTTGGCCTCTAGACCTCCCTTACCCTTGCGCCTGGAACACAAGGGAGCCCCAGCGGATGGTCGATGGTGGGGCACCTTAGAGACCCCCTACTTTCCTGGGGTTTCCTGAGGCTTCTTCTGGGTCACAGACACCTGGTCCAGGACAGAAGGCTCTGTGTCCTGGTGCAAGGTGCTGTGTGCTCTGGGAAAGTCATCTTTCCATGACCAATGCCAGATAAGAGATTCTTGGGGTGTGGAACGCGGGTTGCTGTGGAAGGTGTGGCTGTCATAAGAGGTAACCTGTTGCTGGATGTAGAAGGGCAGCGACTAGGGCCAAGGATATATTGAGCTCAGGGTTGGAGGCTTCTGAGGACCTGGCTCCTTTTATGCAGAATTCCAAGCCTGTTGCCCACAGCAGGGAAAGTGCTGCTCCCCCTAGTACTAGGGGCTGGGGATGTGGCTCAAGCGGTAGCGCGCTCACCTGGCATACCCGGGGCACTGGGTTCGATCCTCAGCACCACATAAAAATAAAAATAAAGATGTTGTGTCCACCAAAAACTAAAAAAAAAAAAAAAAAAAAAACTAGTACTAGGATTCTCAAGCTTGCATCTGCTCAGCTGTGGCATTTTCTATTGAATAATTCAATTAAAGAGAAACTAAAAATTCAAGCAATTTGGAAAAGTAGATGCAATCTCACTGTTCTTTGACATGCTGTAGAGTTCCACCATGGTCCCAAATATTCTACATAAGTTGGGGGCCTGAACAGGAATGGTACAGAGCAGCCTGCCACCATGAGGACCAAAAGGACTGTTTAAGACTTGGAACTTAATGAAACCAAGCACCAAACTTGAATTTTTATGCACATAAATGTTACAAAAGGTGTTAATAACGGATGAAAATCACATTCCAGAGCAGTTTAATTATAATTATCATTGCAATTATAGTAATTAAGTAGTGGAGAAAATAAAATTAAAACATTTACATTACAATAAAATTTTTAGAGAATTTTGTAGTGCTAGAGATTGCTGGACCTATCAATATGAATTCATGACTTTAGAAAGTAGTACACTTTTCCTAACCCTTAGCCATGAATATGTAATTCTTTTATGTCTACCACCAATACCCATATGGAAAAATATGGTATGCATACCCCAGTGTCCAAATTTGGAGTTTTATCTCTATTCCCTATAAAAAATAATTGGTTCCACTTACTAGGTCAAGAACTAGAATATTTGGGGGTGTGGATCAGAAAATTCAGGTGCTTTTAAAATGTGTAATATGTTCCTGAAAGGACAAAGTCCCCAACTAAAAGGGGTTCCTACAAGTAATAATATGGGCATTAAAAGAGCAAATTATAATTATAAGAAATTGAAACAAGTTGAGTCTATAGAAATTCCTTTTGTATTGAGTTTGGTAAGCTGATTTTATTATTTACATGGAAAAGCAAAGCATCAGAAATAGCAAAACTGCAGGTGGGCAGCGTGGGGGGAGTTGCTAAAGCAGATAAGAAAATGTATTTGAAACTATTGTAATTCAGATAATGTGTTAATGCTACAGAAACAGATGAATCCATGTTTGGAAGCTAGATTTATGACAGAAGGTTCAGTGCTGATTAGTAGAAAGCTGGACTATGCAATATATCAGTCAGAATCTGTGGTCTCCAACTAGATGCAAGAAAACATTATTTAGGCTGAGAGCAGTGGTACATGCCTATAATTCTAGCTGTTCATAAGGCTGAGGCAGGAGGATCACAAGTTTGAGGCCAGCCTGGGCAACTTAGCTAGATCCCATTAAAAAACAATAATAATTGAAAGAGCAGGGAATGTAGCTCAGTGGTAGAGTGCACCTGGGTTCAATCCTTAGTGCTGGGGAAAAAAAGATATATTATATAGGCATTAGCCATCAATAGATCAGAAGCTTCCAGCTGACTTCTAAGAGCACTCTTAAATTTCCTACAGTATTAAGTTAGGGAGAAACTAAAACTTCAAAGCAAGAAGGAAGAGTAAAGGACAATCAGTTCTCCACATGGATGTAAAAAAATGGATCTCTACTTAAATCATAACAAAAAAGTAATTAAATGTAAAAAGCAAAAATTGAAAGTATTAAAAGATAATACAAAGGAATATTATGATGACTTCATGTCATAGAATAGTTTTTTTAACAGAGCTTAAAATTGCAAAGTAAAAAGAAAAATGTAATGATAATTTAACTAGGTTAAAATTAAGAATTTCTGCTCATTGAAAGAAACCATGAAAAGATAATCACAGCTGGAAGAAGATACATACATAGTTGATAAAGGATTAGAGTTCAGGAAATAAAAGAACTTCTAAGAATTAATGAGAATAAGAAAAGTTACCAATAGAAAGATGCTCAAAAGTTTTGACAGACATTGTTCAGAGAGGAAATATGAATATTCAAGAAATATAATGCAAAGTTCCATATCATTGCTCATCAGGGAATTAAATCCACGTTGAGATTTTACATTCATCAGATTTAAAAAAGATAAAATAGACAATATCAAGTTTGGGTGAAGACATTGAAGGTGAGAATGTAAGTCAAAACATCACCCTGGAGGACAATTTATCAATTGTTGATGATGCACGTACTTGAATTCCTCTCCTAGCCTATTCCCTAAGAAACTCTTAAAATAATAGTTATTGCCACAAGGTATGTAATAGCTAAAAATATAGAAACAATTCAAATGTCTATTGAAAGGAGACTGTTGTGGTAGATTTCAAGTTGTCCTCTAATCCTCCTTTTAGGACTCCTGATTTTTAACTAGCTCCATATCTACTCCAAATGAAAACTATATTTCCCAGCTTCCCTTTTCCACTAGGTGGGGTCATGTGACTAAGTTCTGCTCAACAGGTTATGAGTAGGAGTGTGGTGAATTGGAGGTGCAGTTTTTAAGTTGAAATACAGGGCATGGAGTATTCCTCTGGAGAGGGACCCTGAGCATCCCAGGGTGAAGTGGAGGTCTTTCCTGAGTCCTGAGTTAACAAAGATACTGAGTGATGTGACTTCACATCCACTTGACCAAGAAGGCTTATCACCACGGCGATGCCTCCCAGAACAAAGAAAAGGCCCTCATCAGGTTTAGATCCAAAGAAGCAAATTTCTGCAGTTTGAGGAGGTACTTAGGAGGTATTTTGTTCTTGTTTCTGGCCAGGATCAGGGCACAAAAAAAGAGACTTTTATATCATATACTATTTCCTGTGCTGTCCTATTCTATATACTGGCCCCTAACTTCCCAGCTAAGGTCCAGGGCTGGGTGAGGGATCTGAACCTGGACAGCAGGCATGTTAACAACTGCAGCCCTGCCCAGGCCCCAGCTCTCATGGGTTACTGAGAGGGTGACTTTTCTGCCTTTGGGAATATGGCCTAGCAAGAAGGATCATGGAAATATGGAGAAATGGATAGCTTCGAGTGTGTTTCCAGAACCCCAAGAGAAAAGCAGCATGAATTAGTGAGGGGCTGGATGGTTGGCTCTTCTCTCTGTACTTCCAGGCCTGATGGCTCTTTTGCAGCAGATGCCCTTGGAGCCTTGCCAGAGTTAGGCTGGACTCTGCCTTTGCAGCCCTGTCGTATCAGCTTTGAAGGGTCCCTCTTGTCAGATCCACACCTCCCTGCCCCCCAGGGAATTGCTGCTGCTTGTGCGATGTATGGGGGGATGGTCGGTTGTGTCCACATGTATATGTCCACCAACCACTCCCTTGTCCCCATTCTTGGCATCCTAAGACTCCAAAACTATGGATGGAAGCCTGTGACTCATTATACCAAAGACCTGCCAAGGCCCCAGGGCTCTCAGGTATGCAACAGAAAAGGGTTCAAGAGGGTTCTTATGAGTGGAAGAGGATTTATAGGGGATTGATGTCTATGGATGTCTAAAAGGAATGACAGACAAAATTATCTGTGTATATTTCTGTAGCTGCAGATTAAAATAACTAGGAAAATAGGATTTTGTTTGGAAGACTACTTGACATTATCTATCAATATTTAAATTTCACATACCCATATAATTTATGCTATAGATATATCCACACATGTATAGAACACTATTTGGGTGATGCTGGAAATCAAACACGGGGTCCCAAGCATGGTAAGCACTCATTCTACCACTGAGCTACATCCCCAGGCCTACATGAGACATTTTTGATAAGGATATTTATTAGAGCACTGATTGCTATTGCAATTACACTACTGATATTTCAAAAAGATTGAAAACAACCCAAAAGTCTGTCATTAGGGAGCTGGTTAAACCAAATGTAGCACAATCATGTTATAAAGTACTTACCATTAAAAAAAAGCAAACAGGGTATATGATCTATTTATATCTATAAATAGATCTCCAAAATGTATGTTCAGTGAGAAAAGAGAAAAGCACCTGAGCATACTATCCCACATGTGCACATATATGTGGGGTATGTGCACATGCTCTTGCGGTGCACAGCATAGAACTGGAAGAATACATGACAGAACTGGGAGATTCACAGAGGAAAACACACAGCATTTTGCAATGTTTAAATTTTTAAATTATACTTATGCATTTCCTAGATTTACCAAGTATTAACATTTCCCAAAACAGGATCTGGAAAGAACAGTGGCTATAGAGTCCATATATACGGTCTATATGATATAGACTACGTGGGGTGGAACGTTAACATTGTAGTCCCCCAGCATTTAAAAGTGACTATGCAAGTGGAAGGAAGTAATGATGCAAATGGAAATGTGGCTGTGAGCAAGAAGGTGGCACTACAGAGGACAGACCAGGCACTTGGTCTGTGTCCTCAAAAAGTGATGCCAATATTTTAAATAAACACACAGAGCTTTTGTACTTGATTATTATTCCCTTCAAAGTAGTTTGCTGAGAGCCTAGATAATCAGAGGATCTCTGAGCTGAAGGCTAAAAATGTGTCAAGAACTCCTGTCAAGAACACCACATCAGGGTGGTGACATTTTTACTCATTTGGAAGCAAAATATTTGTCCACAGAGGAGGGATCTGAATTTTGGAAACAGTCAAATGTCATTTGGCTACAAGTTCCGTTAAAAATGTGAGATATCAAGTTAAGCAATTAGTTTTATAATTAAAACAAAAAGAATGAATGAAAAGAAAATCAGAGCATGCTGTTGCTCTAGTGCCCCTTAAAAATCTGCTCTGATGGTCAAGCCCCAAAAGGATGCTTTTAAAATGATGTGTGCCTTGGCAGCACGGTTGTGGTGAGGTTCGGGCTCCCAGGAGGACTCCTCTGAAGGAGTCAATGCTCGCTTGAAAGTGTAGGTTCTGAGGATTTGTTAGAGAAACCCGCCCAAGCCCATGGGGGTGGCGCAGCCGTTTGGGGCAGGGCGGGGCGCGGGCGTCCGGGGCTCAGCTCTTCTTGCGTAGCTGGCTGTACTGCGTGCGGCCCAGGATGGGCTCCATGACGCTGGGCCGGAAGAAGCTGTCGCTGACCCTGCGCTTCGGCTTCTCGCGGGGCATGGCCAGGAAGCCGCAGCGCGGTACGGAGGTCGTCTCGATCTTGTCCTCCAGGCCTGGGCCCCGCGCGCTACGAAGGCTGCCGCGGTGCTGCGCCAAGCGCGGCGCGGCCGGCTCCGGGCTAGTAGGCGGCGCGCCAGAGCCCTTGCGCTCCGCCTCCCGATGCTCTGTCTCAGCTGGGGGATTGTCGATGTCTCGGAATTCGCTCTCAGGTTCCATCAGAGACAGCCTGGGGAGCTGAGAACCCGGCAGCCACGTTAGATTCCCTACTTGGCCCTCGTCACTACGCCTTGGGTCCACCACCCCTTCTGGGGTCCTCGCCTTCATTCCCCCAGGAGTGGCCACAGGCTGGAATGTTAGACAGCAGGATGGGGGTCACTAGGGTAACCCGCGAGGTTCTGACAACTCTGATCTCCATCAGCCAGACTCCTCAGGCAAGGCAAGCCATGTCTCCAATGTTTCCAGACCCCTTGGGCTTTTCTAAGGGGGACTTTCAAGAAGAAGTCAGTGTCTTTAGAAACCCTCCCTTGGATTATAGGCTAAATGCAACCCACACATTGACCCAGCCAGGATCAGGGTACCTGCCTGGGCATGTTTGGAGCCCAAGGAGGACAAGCTGTCTGCCAACCCCCACTGAATGCCTCTTTGTGGGAGTGACTGAGTAACCCAGCCCCTGGCCAGCTTGAAGAGCATATACCTCCTGTCCTGCCCTGCCCAGCCCTCCTTGCACCTGCTCAATCTGTAACTTACTTTGGGAAGGGGCCTAGAGGCTCCCAAAGGGATGGCATTGGTGTCTCTTGGGTTTTTCCTGTTGGGATAGGTGATAGAATTGGGACTGGGCTAGCTGCCTTCTTTGGAATTCATGGCCCACCCCTCAGGGTGTCCTGGAAGCCTCCCAGCAGGGAAGCCTCTGTCAGGTCCTTCAGTTGGTAGCTAAGGGGTGAGGGCTGAGCCACTGGGAATCCCTAGACTGATAGTGTAAGTCCTCCACTGGTGAGAGAAGCGGGCATGTCAGGGAGAGCCCTCTGGTCAGGGCCCTAGGCCTCTATATTCTTGGGTTTGGGAAAGGCCTCAGTATGAAACAATGTTTCTGGGGCAATGAGAATCGGAGCAGTTCTCCAGGGATGGGGGAAAGGTGGGAGACTGCAGCATGTCAATCAACCCTCCTTTATCTGTCCTCTCCAGACCTCCCTGGGAGACAGGTTAGCCCTGGATGGGACTCACCGGCACATAGTGCACCACTGTGTCCACCACGTTGTCAGTCACACCCTTCAAGGCATCTGATAAGGACATGGCCCTCCCCTTGGTGGAGGAGACAGCAGGGGCTGGTGTGAGGTGCAGTATCCTCCCTGCTGTGCCCAGCACAGCCATAGGTGCCCAAGTTACAGCTGAGATGGTGCCCTGGAGAGTCTTCTGCAGGGTGTGTGCCACACTGCCCAGGAGGCCTCTGGAGCTGGGCAGGGCTGCTTCCTGAGGACCAGAGCAGGGTCAGCACCTCCTACAGTGGCTCTCCTGACCTTTCCCCTCCCACCAGTCCCAGAACTAGAGGGGAAGAATGTGGACACCAAACCAAAGAATGTTTAAGCCTGGCTCTGCCGTTAGCTGTGTAGCCTTGGGCAAATCACCCTCCAGTTTCTCTTTTCTTTTCTTTTGTTTCTTTTTTTGAAGTACTGGGTATTGAACCCAGGGACGCTGTACCCCTGAGCTACATCCTAAGCCCTTTTATTTTATTTTACTTTATTTTGAGACAGGGTCTCGCTAGGTTCAAGGCCTTGAACTTTGCAATCCTCTTGTCTCAGCCTCCCAAGTCACTGGGATTACAGGCGTGCACCACTACACCCAGCTCCCCAGTTTCTTCATCTGCAAAATGAGAGCATAATCTCTACCCTGCCTCTCTTAGGGGGTTTTTGTGAGAGTCAACTGAGTGACATGGAAAAACTTGTGCATTTAAGGGTGGGGGAGAGTCCTGCACCCATGTACCCTGTCCCTGGGATGGGGACAGAGACCTTTTCTTCACCCTGTGTCTCTGCTGTTCACTCCCATGTGGGTTGTGGGGTCTTCAGGTTCCTGCTCACCTCACTGAGCTTGTTCTCCTCAGCCTCTGATTCTTCCTCCTCCTCTGTCTCCTCGCCCTCTGTGTCTGTCTGGTCATTGTGGTCCTCATCCTGAGCAGCAGGGAGGTTGTGCAGCCAGGGCACTCGTACTTCACTCTGCCTCCGGGACACCACCTGCGTGGCCATCGATGCACCCCACTGGGCCAGGCTACTCTGAAGGAGAGATGGTAGCAGATGGCTGGCCTAGCAGCCCTGCTTAAGGCCAAGGGGAGCCCCAATAGCCAGAGTCCCTCCCCCCAAAGCCACTTGGTCCCAGCAGACATTTCTCAACACTTTTTATTGAGGGTAACTTATACCATTGAAGAGCACACATCTTTAGCATACATTTCTTAAACTGTTGTAAGTACACATCTGTGTAACTACCATAGATTGATAGAGACCATTTTCAACACCTCAGAGGATCACCCAGGGCCCAGACTTAGTCTACCAAGTCCTTTAAGAGTGAGCACTATTCTGATATCTATCACTATACATTTGTTTCAGCGATTTTTTTTTCTTTTTGGTGCTGGGATTGAATCCAGGGCCTCACCATGGCAAGCTCATGCTATATCATTGAGCTGCCCCTCTGACTTCCATGCCTTTTGGGAGGGGGTACAGGGAGTAAACCCAGGGGTACTTAACCACTGAGCCACACCCACCCTTTTTAATATTTTATTTAGAAACAGGGTCTGACTGAGTTGCTCAGTTGCTGACGCTGGCTTTGAATTTTCAATCCTCCTGCCTGAACCTCCTGAGTCTCTGGGATTATAGGTGTGTACCACCACACCCAGCTCCATACCTATTTTTCAGCTTCACATAAATGTGTATTTGTTCGTGAATAGCTTCTTTAGTTCCACATAATGCTGTGATAGCCATCCTTGCTGCATATACAAGTGCTTTCCTTTTTTCATCCTTGTATAATATTCCCTTATGTAAATTCACCACCATTTGCTCATTCTGGTATGAATGGACCTCTCTGTAGTTTCAAGTTCTTGGCTAAGGATAAAGCTGATAGGAACATTTTTGACATTGTCTTTTGGGAGACAAAAGCGGTCATTCCCCAAGGGAGTCCATATTGTATAGATTTGGGGGATGCCATGAATGGGGGCACCTGAGCTTCTACTCACTCCAATAGCTGGACCAGCTATGTGGATCAGTCTCAGCTCTCATTGGTAAACGACGCTTAATGCAGGGGACAGAGGGGAACCACTACTCCTGTATCCCAATGGAGCCAAACCACCTGGTGCACAGCAGGTTCCTAGCATACACGTGCTTAATGAACAATCCAGACCTAAGAATACTTTTAAAAGTACCACTCTCATGATGGCCGAAAGTGGTCATCTTCTTGCTGACCCTCATGCTTTAATGTTGTTTTATTTCCAATCTTGGCCTTAGTTTCTTACTAAAGTTCCCAATGGGGGAAAAAATCCAGCCATCTGAGATAAAATACACATAGAGATGGGGTGGGAGCTTCAGGAGCTAACCCATGTGAGCCACAACCTAGCTTCCCCCACGCCCCCAGTCTGGGGGAAGCTAGGTTGTGTCTTGGACCAAAAAGCTGGGGGAAGCTAGATTTGCCTTGGATACAGTGGGAGTAGAAATTAGAAGCCTCTAGAAGGAAAATCAGAAGCCAGGGGACAGTCAGAGACCAGGGCCAGTTGGACTGCCTCCCTCACAGAAGGGTTTTGTGCTATAAGGATGACACTTCCTACTACCTGGATAGCAGATAGAGTCTGCTCCCTTGCAGGTGGGAGGCCTCACAGCAAGACACCCATGAGGGGATGAAGTAGGGGGACTCAGAGGGAGACAGATGTGGGTGGTGGGGCAGGACCACTCCAGAAAAAGGGCCTGTCCTCTTCCCACATCCTGCCCTTTCTCTCACTCATGGCTTGGACAATTAGCTCTCCTCTCCTCTTAAAACCCCTTGTTCTTAGACCTAAAGTCCCAGCCCAAGTTGGAAGGGAGAACATTCCCAAGACAGAAGGGACCAGGGGGCCCTCAGTGCTCCCAGGCAGGATTCAGGCAGTGCTCAGGGCAGACACTCACCAAGGGTGCTACGCCTGGGATCCACATGGCCAGGGAGTGGCCCTGCTTCAGTGCCCAGGCTGTGGTCTGCATGGTGTGTCGAGAGAGGGTGTTGGCCAGGGTCCCCATCCTGCTCACAAGGCTTGGCTTGGCTTTGGGAGGCTTCTGGGCCCCCTGGTGTCCAGGAACAGAGGCTGGGTATAAATTTGGGAGAAAGAAGGGAAAAAAGATGAGAAAGGGGCTGGGAGAAGCTAGGTTGTGTCTTGGACCAAAAAGCAGTTGCCCTAATTCTAACACAAACTCACTTTTTTTTTTTGTGGTCTTGCCATTGAGCCTAGAGGTGCTCTACTGAGCCACATTCCCAGCCCCCCCCCCTTTTTAAATTGAGACAGGGTCTCATTAATTTACTGAGGCTGGCCTTGAACTTGCAATCCTCTTGCCTCAGCCTCCTGAGACCCTGGTATTTCACTTTCCCTTTTTATAGATGGGGAGAGTAGACCGATGACTATGGATCACTCTGAAACTCCCTCTGGGCCTTCCTGTTCTTGAGCAGTGGCTGGATGAGCTCTGGTCTCCCACTCTTTCCCAAGTACATGGCTCCCCAGGGAACATGGGTGGCCTTATGGCAGATACCTGACTCTTCCTTGGCTGGAGGGAGGAGGTACTCTACCACCTTCTCAATGCTGCCCAAGGCCAAGTCGGCCCCTCCAGAGGCCAGTCGGCCAGCTCTGGTGTTAGCAGCATACTCCACAGTCTCTTTGGCCATCCCCCTCGCAAGCTCATAGCCAGCCAGAGTGGCCCCCAGGACCTTGTCCGAAGTGCTTGTGATGGGCACACTGATGCTATTTCTAGCACTTCGAAGCCGGGTGGAGATGGTGTCCTTCAGCTCAGAGGCGATCTGGGAAAAGGTGGAGAGAGGGTCAAACACATGGGTCTCCTCCTAGCCCCTGTGAGAACTGCCCTCTCAGAGCCTCAGGCCCTGAGGCCAGCTCCCTGGAAGGCATCATTTAAAGTCCAGGGGACTGGCATCTATGTGTGGGCACCCAGATTAAACTGTGCCAGTCACTTTGACCTCCAGTCTTCCTTACACCACTATGCTGCCTGTCAGGGTCCTGCTCATCCTTTGAGGTCAGCCCCAAAGGCTCCCTGCAGGTGGCATCTATTCTGATACCCTTGTGCAAATAAGGCAAAATTCTGTCCTGACTCCTCTGTCCCTCCCTCAGAAGGCTGGTTCCATCTGCATTTATATTGGTTTATAGAGATAGTTGACTTCTTCTAAGTTCTTCACTGAAAAAATTTACCTTCTTCCTAAATAGCCTGGGAGCTCCTCTGTGAAAAGACACTGATGCCTTTATTTATTTATTTTTGGAAGAGTGAAAGGAGTAGGATTTATTCAAGTGTGGAGAATAAAAACAGAACTCTTGCAAGGACAAGAGGGGACCCTAGTAGGGGTCATCCATTTTTGCCCTTTATGTGGAAAATGAGAGTAAAGAGCACTGGCCTGTCCTCCTGTGATCTCTGCTTAGGCTGTGTGGCTGGGCAGTGTCACTGGTTTTCTTATCTGTACAATGTGGGTAACAAGTCTCATCCCAGAGGACTGACAAGCAGATAAAGTGAGAGAGCTCTGTGAATCATGTCATGGTCCCTGAATAGGGCAGGGCTCAGTGAATGTTTATGGGATGGTAGGTGGTTGATCAATTAAATGGATGAGGCCAAAGATTGAAGCTTATTCCCCAAAAGTGCCTAACGCAACCAGCCAATAAACATGTGGCCAGGTGAAGTGATTTTTTTCAATGTCATGGCCCATAAAGAGCTGGATCTCTAGGACATGGGGCTGCAATCTCGGGATCCTGATGAGTGTGACCCATGATCTTAGGTAACTATAGTCACCGAGTGGTGCAAGGCAGACCCATGGAGCCCCAAGTCCCAGGGCCAGATATCAGGAAGTTGTGGGACCCAACCAAGCTCCTGTTTGAGTTTTCCCAGGATTTGTGCCATGACCCCTCTCCCATTTGGCTTCATAGAAAGAGGAAGAACCTGTTGTGCTGCCTTAGGTACAGGGGGCCACCACCAGCCTTGCAGACCGCTTGCCATGGATACTCAGACTCCCAGCTCTCCTTTCTGAGAGGCAGTGACAGCAGTATAGGCATCACTGGGGAAGAGGAAGGGGCTCACCTTTTCAGGAGGGTACTGGAGGGCCGGGATCTTTTCCTCCAGATGGTCCAGGCCTCGGCAGGCCAGCTCATTGGCAGCTATGACTGGAAGGAAAGGGCCGTGTTGGGGTGAGCCCTGCGCCCCACCGTGAAATCTAGCAGTGGCTTCTGTGCCAAAGAAAGCCCTCAGATCCCCAGCTCTCATCCCCAGTTCTGCCGCCTCCCAGGCACCCATGAACCCAAGGCCCTTTGCCATCTTTAGCTTGTGACTCCTTGAGACCAGGGCCAGTTTCAGGGTTGCTCAGATATGCACTCAAAGCTTAGCTCCTGTATTACATGGCTCCAGGCAAGACACACCTGTTGGAGCCTCAGCTTCTTCATTTGTAAAATGTGGTGCCTACATCGCAGGGTGGATCAAGGGAAGGAACTAATACTACCCTCCCCTCTTCACCTTCCTCTCCTGCTCGGAGGCTCTGGGTGAGCATGAAGAAGAGGGAGAACAGAGATGCCAGGTGGGCAGAACTCTGGAGCCTTGGCATTGGCCTTGGTGGAGCCAGGCATAGGCCTGCTTAGCTCTAGAGGCGAAAAACTCCCAGTCACAGCTGGTGCAGGCTCCAGATTGCCCAAAGAGCCTTGCTTTTAACCACTAGGTGTCAAGATGGTGGACAGTGTGAAGAGGGTCACAGGGAAGAGAAAGGAATTCCCCCAGAGAGTGGAGCAAATACCAGAGGATGCTAACATTTCAGAGAATATTGCTCAGGGGCTGTCAAGGACATAAGTTCTGGATACCAGTTTTCAAGGGTATTCATACATGCTCTTTCATTTATTCTTTATCCCAATGTATTATTAATTAATCAACTAATTAATTAATTTTGCAAAATTCTCAAGAAGCAGACAGCCCAAATGACTTGGCTCTTTTCTCCTCCTCCTTTTACTGGTGGTATTTTTTTTTCTGGTATTGGGGATCAAACTCAGGGGCACTTAACTACTGAACCACATCCCCAGCTCTTTGAATATTTTATTTAGAGACAGGGCCTCATTAAGTTGTTTAGAGCCTCACTAAATTGCTGAGGCTGGCTTTGAACTTATGATCCTTCTACCTTAGTCTCCCCATTTGCTGGGATTACAGACATGCACCACCATGCCTGGCTAGGTATTGGGGATTTAACTCAGAGTCACTCTGCCACTGAGCTACAACCCCAACCCTTTTGTTATTTTTGTTTTGAGATAGTCTTATCGAGTTGTGAGGCAGGCCAGCTCATTGGCAGCTCTGACTGGAAGGAAAGGGCATAGGCCTGAATTTGCTTGAATTTGCTATCCTCCTGCTGCAGCCTCCTGAGTCATTGCAATTACAGGTATGTACCAGTGTTCCCAGCTTAGCTGTCTTCTCATTGGACAGAATGAGACTCAGGGAATGTATTTTAGGAGTTTGCAGGAGGGGAGGCTAACCCAGGGCCTGGGTCATCTTTACAACTGTCCTGCTTGTTGTGTGGAATCCTCCGATACCCACAGTTCTCTACTTAGTATAGTGGAAGGTGCTAGATTTCTCAGCACTGTTGGGATTTCTCTCTGCTCAATCAAAAGCCGTGCCTTAAGAGATCATATTTTTAGGTGGGGCAGAAATTTGCATGGGGCAAGTCCATTAAGACTCACATCAACGGTTGTTTTCCACCTTTAGGTCTCTGGTGGGTAGCTCTCTGCTGTCCCCACCTGTTATCAGCCAGAACCATCAGCGGTGGGTGGGTGGGTGGGTGGACTTCCCTCTCCAGGTCAGCCCTAGTGTCTGCTATCCCTGTCTCTGTTCCAGACTCTGTCAGTTCTTGCTGCTGCTGGAGTTGGATCTAGGGTGGGTCTGGTCTGTCACCAGGCCCCACCTTCACCACAACTGGCATAGCTCTGCCCATCCCTTTCCCTGAAAATTCTTTGGCCCATCATTGCCATCTTAGGAAGATGCCAGCTTGGCTGTAGTTGAGGCATGTATAGCTGGAAAAAGAACTGTATTTTTTTTTTTCAGTACTAGGGGTTGAATTTAGGGACAGCCTATCACTGAGCTACATCCTCAGCCCCATTTACTTATTTATTTTAAAATTTTGAGGCAGACTCTTGCTAAGTTGCCCAGGTTGGCTTTAAACTTAAGATCCTCTTGCCTCAGCCTCCTGAGTTGCTGGGATTACAGATGTGCACCACTGTGCCTGGCTTGTATCTATATCTTTCTATTGGTAGATGAGAAGACCTGGAGTTGGGGTGAGGCAGATGGGGAGCAGTCAGGCAGATAGATGGGCAAGTTACCAGATGATTAGACAGGCTGACACGTGGTAGTGAGTGTCAGTGGATAGGTGGGCAGTGGCCAAATGCCACGAGGACTCACACTGGGTGGACAGTCTGCGCACCACTGGCTCCATGCTCCAGGCGGCCAAGTTGCTGGCGCCCTGCACGCCCTTCTCGTAGGCATTGCACACGGAGGCCACCAGGGGGTGAGCTTCCTTGGTGCTGGTGTATGTCTTCTGGAAGCACTCACAGGTGCCGCTCACCACAGGCAGCTGCATGACGCGCTGTAGCACATTCTCCTGCTCCTGGCAGGGAAGAAACGTGTACAAGTTAACCATCTCCTTTCTAGCCTCCCGGGAAGGTGACTCCAGGGCTGGGCAGCCATTGGCAAAACTATTCTGAGTCCCAGAAACCTGGGAGGAACCAAGGCCAAAAATGTCTTGGATGCCTTGGTCCTGGGAGCCTGAGGGAGCCCACAGGGAAAACAAGAGCCAGCCTGCCGTAGCCTTCTGGCCATAACCCATCTCTGGGGGGCTGCTGAGGCAATCTGTTCCCAGGAGCCAAGCTGAATTGCAGCACCCCTCCTAGACTTACTGGTAGAGAGCAAGTGTTGTCAAAGTGTCTGTCCAGAGTTTTAGTCCACCTCTGAGTGGTGGCTTCATCTAGGCCTATTCCATCCAGGTCTTTCTGAGGTCCTGCCTCCCTGCTCGTGGAAGCTGGTCCAGTGCTAAATACGCTCTCCTTCCCTCCCATCTATTTCTGCCTTTCATGTCTTCTCTGAAGCTTCCTAACTCTCCTCCCTCACATCAGAAGCCTCTGAGTTCTTCCCTGGGCTGTCTCTGTATTGATGTCACTGTGCTGTGATTCCCTGGGTACTTGTTACTCTCTCTCCCAGTAGACTGTGCACTCTGTGTTCTCAGTGCCTAGCCAAAAAAATGGATCACAGAGCTGCACCTTGTAGAATGCCTAAGTTTTCAGGGCGCCCAGAATGGGAAGCTTGGCCTCCAGGAGGCTCTGTGGCAAGAAGCCTTTCCAGAATTTCTTTGCTAGTCTTGCATTTGCAATTGTAACTGCAATCCATCTTCACCCTCTCCCCATCCTATTCTCTCTTCATTCTGAAACAACCCTGAACTATTCTATTTCATCGTTCATGGATTGGTGTTCTCACATCTGAAGTCAAATATGTCTCCCTTTGAAGGTTACTTCTCTGTACTAAATAAAATAGCTCCAGTTCCTAACTTGGTCCACACCATGGTCTGGTGACCTCCTTCTCTGGATATGCTACAGCTTAGCACTGTCCTTTTTGCCAGTGACTCTGTGAGTCAGCATTATCACCATCACTTTGCTGACAGGGAGACATACTCAGAGATGTGAATGACTTACCTAAGATCACACAGCTAGTAATTGACAGAGCCAGGATTCCAAGTCAGACTTGAAATAGCATATCTGGAATTTGCTTTAAAATAATGTAAGGTGAATTGATAGGGTGAGGATGAAGTAGTTTGGCTGTGGATTCATGCTAGTGAAGGGTGCATAGGGCCTTACTATATTCTTCTACCTAGTCTTATGATCACAAGAATTCTCCAGATTAAAAACACCCCAGGTGTGACTCATGCTCAAACTCTGCATAGCTTCGAATGTGCCGCTGTGGCAGGGTTCTTTCTGTCCTAGCAGCAAGGACCTAATGCTAAGTTAGCAGGGCCATCAAGAACACAATGGACAGAGCAGGCCACAGTATTTTAGCTTTTCATCCTGATGGTGAGTTGTAAACTGGAACTAGAAAAAGACTTGGATAAGACACAAAAAAGTATTTTCTTTAACATTTTGGACAGAGTCTTAAAGGGTTATTTGAGACAAAACCAAAGGGAGAAGCAGATGCTGGGAAAGGAGGAAAACTGTTAAGATATTACTGCATATGACCATTTTACGCCTCTCTGTGTTGTGGGCTTCAGTATAAAACTTAGCATGTGAACCCTTGTGCAGAGGTTAATTGAAGCCTAATTGGTGACGAGATAGGTTTATAATTTTTAAGTTTCACTAACCATTTAAACTGTGCCCAAATAATAGAGGTTTTGCCAAGAGGCATCAGGCACACCTAAAAGGATCAAAATCACTCCAAGTCACAGTGAAAATCGCAACAGCTGTGAACTAGATGAACCATTCATAGTATAAATGATGCTGGAGTCACAAACTTTAGTGGCTCTGCATGAATACATTCAGCTGGCTGGTGGTGAACAAAACAGGGACTTATGCAGCAGGGTTTAGAATATGGTAGTTCCCTTCCTTTCTATTCTTCCCCACCCCCAGCCAGGATTTGTGCCCTTTTTTCCCCCCAAGGGCTTAGGTTTTTGTTTTTTTTAATTTTTTTTAAGTTGGAGATGGACACACAATATCTTTATTTATTTGTATGTGGTGCTGAGGATCGAACCCAGTGCCTAACACATGCCAGGCAAGTGTGCTAATGCTGAGCTACAACCCCAGCCCAAGGGCTTAGTTTTTAATTGACATTTTTTCTCCCTCCAGAGCCTCCCATAGCCCTCTGCAAAAGGTAGTGAGAGCAGGAATAACTGAAACATGGTCAATGACCTAGTTTATAGTTTAGACATATCTTGCTCCAGCTCCCCCGAATCTCCCTCCTGGCTCCTTCCTCCCATCAGGTGTCCATTCCCCACCCCGCAAGAGCCCAAGTTACTCACAGGAAGGTCTCCATCCAGCAAGGTTGGGCCCTTGTTGACTGCCATTCTAGTTCTTCACGCTGCAAAGCAGAAAGTCCCAGGTCCGTCAGAGGCCCGCAGGCTTGCAATCCACAGTTCCTTACCTCCCATGGCCACCCACTGGACCCAGGCGGTCTGGGGGCACAGATTGTCATTTCTTAGAGTTCCAGAGCACCAAGTTGCTTCTCACCTACTGGTCAACACCATGTTTCTTATAAAGGTTTACGATAAGAAATGAAAAAATGCAGGTGGCCATGAGAGATAAAAGGTTTTAGATGAAGTACTGGGCTCTTAAATGAAGATCCAAAAGAGACTAAAAGAATTAGTTTCAGGGCTGGGGATGTGGCTCACGCGGTAGCGTGCTCGCCTGGCATGCGTGCGGCCGGGGTTCGATCCTCAGCACCACATACAAACAAAGATGTTGTGTCTGCCGAGAACTAAAAAATAAATATTAAAAAATTCTCTCTCTCTCTCTCTCCCCCCCCCACTCTCTAAAAAAAAAAAAAAGAATTAGTTTCAGGTTTACTCTCCTTTATAAAAAACAAACAAACAAAACTGTGGTTTAATTCCTCTGTTTCTAAGACAGCATCGTGTCCCTCTATAACTCAGCTAGGCAAGTAACCAGTCACTCATAAAACTAGCTATTTCAGCTGTGTTCTGTAAAAACTATTGACCACCAAACAGCTACTCTAGAGTCCTGGTAATTCACCTTGAATCTTTCCCTCAGTAGTTTCCCTGCAGGTCTCTTCATCCCCAGTAAAAGTCCCAAGAGGCCTTTACCCTCAACTCCTTCCCTTTAATACTCATAAACAAGCCAGGTAAGGGGAATCCCCCAGGATCCCCACACTCACTGCAACCGACCACCACCTCAGCCTCACAGAGCCCACACTGTGGAGTGCCTCCTCGGCAGGAACACTTCCAGCCACTCCAGGGAGTCTTGGGCAATGCTACCAGGCCTCTCAGCTAGAGGAGGGCAGAGAAGAAGAGAAAGTTGGAGCAGCCTGTTGCCATGGCTATCTGACCCAGGGTCCCTTGGGCTCATCCTAACTTCTATAAGGATAGTTAGCCAATGAGAAGGTAGATTGCAGAGCTGAAGGACACCCCAGGCTCAGAGAATTCATTATTCCAGAGTCATGAGGAATAATTCTATAACATCAGTCCTCAGTTGACAAAACTTTTGCTTTTCATAAACAAGGTATTAACACATATGTCATTAAATCCATAAGCTCTAAAGTTCCAATTATTCTGTAATCTTTGATCCTTTTCCCCACGAGGGTCCTGTTGGACAATTTTCAGTTTGTCTGATGCTTTCTTATTTACTTCAAAAGTGAATATTGATGGGGCTGGGGGTGTGGCTCAAGCGGTAACGCACTTGCCTGGCATGCGCGGGGCGCTGGGTTCGATCCTCAGTACCACATAAAATAAAAATAAAGACGCTGTGTCTGCCGAAAACTGAAAGATAAATATTAAAAAAATTCTCTCTCTCCTCTCTCTCTCTTTAGAAAAAAAAGTGAATATTGAAAAGTATGACTTAAACCTGCACTGAGACGCAAAGGCCTCTTGGGACTGAATGTGCTAGTCTTTGATTATGGGAGATAAATGCTCTCAGTAAAAATGAGATGGAGCTGGGGTCAAGTCCTTGAGAATATGGGCTTTGAGGGAGCAATTTCAACCTCTGTAAATTCCTAGAGTCCAAGGAAACATGTTGAACTTTACCTGGCCTAAGATGCCACCAAAATGGGCAGTGGGAGAGAGGTTTTGTTCTCCTGAGTCTAGAGAGTGACAGTATTGACAAGATTCTATCACCAACCAACAGCACTAGGACAACCAAGAACTATCACTGGGTCATCCTTTCCTCAGCAAGAACTCAAGTTCTAGTTCCTGGCTTCCAAGATGATGGAGGACAGGGTGCAAGCCAGTGTCTTCAGATTGTCTAAGAAGGGCTCCTTAAATAAAAATAGATAATAGGGCCCAAAGAGGTGACCCATGCCTGTAATCTCAACTCAGAAGTTAGAGGAGGAGGATTGCAAGCTCAAGTCCAATGTGGGTAACTTAGCAAGACCTAATAATAATAATAGGATAATAGAAGGACAGCACTTATTTTCCCTATTGTTGGTAAAAATACATGTATTGACTCTGCTAAGTTGTATGATATGGAAACAGGAGAAAGGAGCAGGGGTGGAGTGAAACAGTACTTTATGATGGATCTTTGGTACTAAAGGGTGTTTCGATAATAAAGTAGGAATGGGAAGTTATAAAAAGGAAAAGATAATCAAGCAGGGAGGCTCTGAAAGGAGTAATAACTTTGTGATACATTTAATACTTCTTGATCCAACCTGGACATCTCTGTTGTAAGATAGTAATGGAGAGGACAGGAAGTGTTTTAAAGAGGTACACTCTGTCCTCACTTCAAGGTTCAGGACAAATTATCTGGGGCTTTGTGTCTGGGTGACAACCTGGGCCAAAGGGCAGTTTTCAGCCTCAGGAGTAGTGGCTTTGGGCCAGAGGGAGTAGAGGGCTCTGTGCCTGAAAGCTCTGCTGACAAAGCTGGGCTTTTAGCCACTTCAGCTTGGATTCTAGAATGTGGGTGAGAGGTGAAGAGTGGTGAAAGGGCTGAGGAAAATCCCAAGGGAAGAAGAGCCAGCCTCCAGTAGCAGTTGTCAAGACATGGAGCTCTAGTTTCCTTCTCCACCACCACAAGAGCTGGAACCTTGGTAATCTTGTTCACAGGTGAATCCTCCAACTCCAAGGCAAGCATGGACTCAAATATTTGTTGCTGAATAAGTAAATTTTCAGGCAACAATGTCAGTTGTGAATGTGGTGGCCTGTATGTCTATTAGGGAAATTGTGGGTATTTGGAAACCCTCATGAATGTGGAGGCTAGCTTGGAAGGAGAAAGATGCACAGGGAGGACACCAGGACACCATGGTCCACGCAAAGTCTAGAAGACATGGCATTTTTTCCAACTCCCCACCACCCACTCTCCTTGCAGAGGACAAAGTCATCAAGATTGAAATCAATGAAACATGCCCCCATGAGCTCAAGGCAGTGTGCTTCAGGCAGAGGCCATAGCACCAGGCTGCTTCAAGCACCGCTCCAGGATAGCAATGTGGCTAGAGCTTTTTAGACGGAACCTCTCAACCCAGGACCTCCACATCTAAACCTCCCTGCCGTCCACCTTCTCAGCTTTCATCTCCCTGCCAGAGCTCAGGGACTGTCTGTGTTCCTGTTAACTCTTTTCTAATCCCAGAACACATTCACAGATACATGAATCAGTTTTGTCTAGAAATTTATTTGGCATAATTAATCTCTTACAGCAGGGAATCTGGACAAGATTAAAAAACAGTTATTTAAACTTTTTTATTTGCCCTGCTTTAGCAGCTTTCATTTCTCTTAAAACTCCCCAAATATTCTTTGTCAAACCTCCTTTATTTATTTATTTATTGGCACTGAGGGCTGAACCCAGGGGCACTTAACCACTGAGCCACATTTTGAAGCAGATTCTAAGTTGCTTAGGGCCTCACTAAA